TGTACTACATAATATAAACAAATCAAAATTATGGTTATGCCCCTCATTAATGAAGTCTGAAGACCTTTTTTTTTGGCTCGTTATAAGGTTTTTTTCTTTGGTTCAGTCGCGTCCCATCCCCGTATTCTATATATATTACTTACTACATGTTGTAATAAATGTCTTTTCAATACATACGAAACAATATCAGTTTTGTATTACATTTAAGTGTATTTTTCAACTAACAAGGAATTCGTTCCTTGAGAGAATTGTGTTAAATATTGTAAGAAAATGAAGAAAGGAGGAGACAGGTTAAAATCATTGAGATGTTGGAGAGAAATTATTTTTACTACCCATTTACTACCCATTTTAACAAGCTACATTCATTGTCGACCGCGTGGCGTAGTGGTAGAGCATTTGCTCTAGAGTCGCGGGGTAAGGAGTTGATCCTTACATCAAGGGTTCGAATCCCACTGTGGGACGTGGAGACCGGTCCTTCGGATGAGACCGTATAAACTGAGGTCCCATGTCGCAGTCGGTGCTAGCATGAAAAAGTTCCCTCACTGCTCAATGGCCCTAAGTACCGAGCATAGGTCAAAATTTGCAGCTCTCCACCGGCAAGTGGTGGCGTCTCCATATGAGTGAAAAATTCTCGAGAGGGACGTTAAACAACAAACAAACAAACAAACAAGCACTGAGAAATGAAAGAAAACGTTTGTACTAGAAACTTGTAGATACAATGAAAATCGCAGAAAACTTTCGAAAAAAAAGGTCTGCGGTGGTCATGGGGTTGTTGAAAAAGTAATTTATGCGACATAATTTTCAATTACCTATAAATATATAAAACGACTCATATATAAACATTTAAACAGACTTTTTTAAAATAGGGCACAGAACACGATTCTCGCAAGGAACGATAAAGTGAGTAGCTGAATAATATAACAATAACTTTAATTTTCCCTTGAATTGAATGGGTACCTGTTCTGTTATTCAGTTTATATAATTTGACTTGTCCGTCAGCCCGTCTTATAGACCCCCATCCAAATGCAAAAATCTAAACACCATCCACTGATTTTTTTTCATTGTTGTTACAAGGCATTTTTTTAATGTCATATTAAACATAGATACTTGTATTTCGCTCAAGTGATTATGAACTAGTTAAATTCAAAAGGGGGAGAAAGCTCAAACACTTTTCAAATTTAAAATCCGTATACTCCTCTGTCATCATACAGGTGAAAAATGAATCACTGAAAAATATCAATAATCTTGTACTATCATTTTTCATTGTATAATTTAGAAAATTTCTTGTGCTAATATTTTTTCAGTTTTCAAATCGGGATCGAGATCCCTCCGATTCAGGTTCGTTTCAGATTCAGATTCGATTCATATTCAGAAACAACTCTATTAGGAATAGATTCGGAAAATCTTGGATAGATGGATAAGTATTCTGTCAATATTCTGAGATTTCATTAACACTTTTTCACCAAAAATAAATGATTTAGCATTTAAATTCAATTTAATATCTTTTGCTTGGCAAACACTAATAATTTTTTTTCAAATCTCTCTGAACAAGTTGGTAGTACCAAAATGGGCAATCCCAGATTGAATGATAAATTGTTACCTCCTCTTCTTTACAAAAAAGTAGAAAACTTTGTGTAAGCTTTGCCTTTTTTATATATAAGACTATTGGTAGTTAGAATATGGTGATTTACTTCAATTAAAACCTTTGTAATTTACTATTTTGTGTCATAAGGAATGGAAAATTATAAATATTACTTCAGTGCATTTCAGTTATTTCAAAATATCTGCCCCATGCATTTATTTTTATCCGAAGGTTTAATTACTGTTTTATTTAAAATATCATACATAGGTTTGGATCCTTTTCTTGTAAGAACAAATACTTTGATATTATAAAGAATCACATCACCCTTAATGATAAGATTGATTGATTGGTGTTTGACGTCCAATTCGAGTATTTTTCACTCATTTAGATCTAGAGACGTCATCATATACCAATGAAGGGTTTCAAATTTAGAGTCAAACTCGGAGCCTTTGAGCATTGAGGATCCATTAATGTGCCAAACCTACCGTGACACAGGGCCTCAGTTTTTAAGGTTTCGTCCGAAAAACCCATGACTTTCATTTCTAATGCCGGGTGCTTGGCGAAGGAACAGTCACTACCTATGTTTACTTCTAAGAATTTACGCGGCGCGGCGAAAGAAAAAAATCGAACCCGGATGTCATTATCACAAAACGAACGCCCTACCACAGGCTTCTGTGACAAGTTCTTTGGATGAAATTGCGAGATAACGAACAGTAGACCCCGGCTGCGACTGATCTATGTCGATAAAAAAAAGGTACCAACTGTTCCTTTCACAAGCACTCGGAACTTTGAAGTGAAGTTGCAGGTCTAAAAACCGAGGCCTTGAGTAACGGCGGGCGTTGGCACGATAAAGATCCCTCTTTCATCGCTCAATGGCCCTGCGTGCCAAGTAAAGCTCTTCACTGGTATATGATGGCGTCTCTATATGAGTGAAAAATTCTTGAACGAGATGTTAAACAATATACAATCAATCAATCTTGTTTCCTTTCCCTTTCTTATTCTGGCAACAACATTTCATCAAGATTTAAGACTTTACGGATCCTCAAAGTTAATAATGAATTCAACATCCAAAAACACGTACCAATTCTACACTCGCCTATGAACTGCCTTCTCCACCAAAACGACTTGATCATTGTCACTGCCTTACAAATTAACAGTTTGAAGATTTATGTACATTTATTTACAGTTGAAAAATGACTTTATTTTGATTTTTTAAGGAAAATACTTAATACTATTGAATTAAAAGAACCAAGATGTAATTATTTCCATTTCTGTTATAATTTTGCAAACATACGTCATATTCCCACGTGATTTAGTACAAAATTAAATCATGAATTTCTCATGAGGATGTATTAAATTGTTATTATTTTTCTTGTAATGAGATTTACCTGGACTTATTTGATGTAGATATTTTTGTGAAGAAAAAGTTGAAAAAAAACACGAACGGTTCTTTAAAAAAAAAGAACCCTATAAACAATGCAAATATGTGAATAGGGCGTAAAACACGAACCGTCAAAAATTCCAAAGGTGTGGTCAGGTGTCTAGGCGGAAGAAACATCCCCCTTCGACCGATCACACCTGCCATGAGACCTATGCATTGCGACCAGGTAGACAGATTATTCCGTATTCAAATTTAGTATACAAAACAAAGGCCTAACATAATATGAAACACGAACTCTTTATTACCACTAAGCTTTCTAATGTGCGACCGATATTTCAATGATACTGATCATGAGCGGCGCCCTGCTGAGATACTATAATTGTTCAAGAATTTTGTGAAACAATACTTCATGTCAAAAGGTAATAAAGATTAGCGCAGAAAAGGGCCCAGAAATCTGATATTTTCTCCAAGATTACTGAGCTGAATTACTGGTAAGCAGGCAACAAGGGAAAGGCAGAGCTATAACTCTTATTTATATGTTCATCAAGAAAAAAGCTTTCATAAAACAACTAGAATTCCGTTGAAAAATGACGATAGAATACAGGCTAATTTATCGATCGTGACCATTTCTATAAAGGATTCTCAATCTTTTCTCTTATCCTGACAGAGATCTGTAAAATGTGTCATACTTATTTTGATATATGAATTCAGGAAAAGGTGAACATAACCTTGAATTAAAATTTTGTTGTTGTTTTTTTCCTTTTCATGTTGACAATTAGGTTTTTAAGATACGTCATAAAATTATCGAGGAGTCATTGGAGAATAAATCGAATTCTTAAAAAGCTTAGTTTCTTTTCTATTATTTGATTTCTCATCAAGATTGCTTAGAAAGAAATGGGGCTGTCATGAAAATGCATGGTGTTTCTATGAGGCGCCGTTTTGGTATTTACTGCCAAAAAGTGATATCACCTATTCGAATAGGTGATATCACCTATTCGAATGGGTGATATCACCTATTCGAATAAGTGATATCACTCATTCAAATTGAATAGGTGATATCACCTATTCGAATTGGTGATATCACCTATTTAATTTGAATAGGTGATATCACCTATTCGAATAAGTGATATCACCTATTCAAAATAATTAAGTGATATCACCTATTCGAATAGGTGATATCACTTATTCGAATAGGTGATATCACCTATTCGAATAGGTGATATCACCTATTCAGAAGCTGAATAGGTGATATCACTTATTCGAATAGGTGATATCACCAATTGAATAGGTGATATCACCTATTCGAATAGGTGATATCACTTTTTGGTAGTAAATACCAAAACGGCGCCTCATATGTTTCGAATCTTCGAGATCGCGTTTCGATTTCAATTAAAACCTCTCTTGATATGAAATGAATAATGCGCTTTTCATTTTATTCCATTTTTCTAACTTTGATTTGTTAACATATAGATTGTGTTCACCATGTTTTAAAATGGTTTCAGAATAATGAATTTCATAATAATCCACAATTTAAAATTAGTATCTACCGTGCTTTTGTTATTTAAATTACATTTTATAAATTAAAAGTTAAGTCTCCTCCTCGGCACCTGATCCAACCTCTGGAATTTCCAGAGGCCCTCGGCACCTGATCCAACCTCTGGAATTTCCAGAGGTCCGTGCTTTATGCTCTCTTCATAGATTTGTATTGTTTATAGATTTTTGAAATCGATCACTGTTAATTCCTTATTTTCACCTTTTAAAAAAAAAAAAAAAAACTATTAAATGTTAATACATGTATCGTATATATTTTTGAGGGTATCAACATTTTAGAGAAATTGAGATGTTTTGTAACACTTAATTTTATATCAGAAAATGATTTTAGCGACAATAGATTTTAATATGAATTACTCTCCGTTAAATTTATAAATCATGTTTTCAAAGACATGTGCCAGTGTAACTCTTATTTTTAATCAAAAATGAATTAACAGCGTAAAAAAATATTTTTTTTTTTTTTTTTTTTTTTGCTTTTTAAATATATCATAAAGATGTTTCCATCATGGTATGATAATTTCTACGATTTGGCACTGATTGTAAACGAGTGTTTTCCTCCAAAACAATTCTTGTTCTAGGCAATGGGAGTATGGTCTGTCCTTTTGGGTCCCTTCTTGGTGATTGCATTGCAAGTGCTTGATGATAATCAGGAGGCGGATCACATGGGATTAAATCGCGTGTGTTGACATTATCAGAGCAACGATAATGCCTTACGGGAGCTGACGCATGAGCTACGAAATGATCATGATACAGAAGTGTTTCACGATTGTGAGACCTTGTCACTGAAGAATCTGGTCGTACCAGTCTGGCAGTGCCACAACTAGGATTTAAGTATACTAAAGAATTTGTGGGTGAATTGGGGCAGGAATTTAAATCATTTTGTCTTGAAAATACAAATGCTCTCCGCGTTTCTGACCGTCGAGAAGTTGCATAACTGTCATTTTGCATACTGTAATTTTCGAACACAATGCCGCCATTTATGATACAAAAGCTATTGCATGGTGGGAAGTTAAGGGCAGTTCCAGACTGGATTCTCCTAAGAGAATCCTTGTCATTGCCAACGGAAGAAAGCGCAGAAAAAGTCTCACTTCTGGTTGCACCATACTTCGTTCTTGTTACATTTCCATTTGCATCCGGAATCCCTATTGTCCTGCCAGATGACATTAATAAGGCCTCGGAATAACTTGGGGCGATATCATTGTTCTGTATTAAAACTTCTAGATCTGAGCTCCCCAGAGTATTGACGCGCGTTATAGGCGTAGATTCGGTGTCATTTTCCAAATAATTTGTGCCAAAAACTTTATGAACATGGTAATGAACATAGGCAGTTTTATATTCAATGATTACTCTCAAAGGCCAAGACAGCAGAAGAAAGGAAGCAATCCAAAAGATCACATGTGACACATACCAAGGGAGATTATCGGGATCTCTGAAAGCAATCATGTACTGCTTGAAATTCACATTAAGTAAATCGAGTCCTTCTCTTGTCTCTATATAGTCGTCCCTTCTTTCATTATCTCTGTAAAATCTATTTCGTTGTTCATCAAATTCGTATTCTGCTTCGGAACACAAGAATGAATATCCTTTTGTGAATCTAATTTTTGTAGCGGGAAAATTCTCCAAACCGGTGAGCGAAGCGGACACGTCCTTAATTCCGCAGTGTGTGAAATTGAATGCTGATCCTGCCGTGTGGGAATTGACGCGTTCATAGTATACTTGGGTACTAGTGAAAGAATCACCATTTCTGTATCTAGTCACGTGACGCGTCTTTCTTATATAATGATAACAAAGTGCTTTCCACCATATAATAGGAATAGATTCCTGCATTTGTTGAATTTTTTCATAAACTGCTTGAACATCAGTTTTATGTTTTAATTCTAATCTTGTGTGACAATGCCAACATTCCACAAGATACACGAGGTATAGCATAATAACAAAAGCGATAGGAATATAGATGTATCCATCCTCACAAGGTTTAGAACTGGTCACCTGTGTGTTTGCCATCCGATGTCCATAGTAACTAACAGTTATGGTTGTGATGACAGCGAGTCGACACCAGATAATCGCTGACAAGCATCCATATATGAGTAACGTCAGAATCATACATTTCCAGTGAGCATCTCTCCTCAGAGATCCACAGAATGACTGCTTACTTGGTACTTGCTGTAAAAAAATTATATAAAATTATTTTACTTATTTATTAATTTTTATAATATATACATGTAGTGTTCTTAACGCATTTTCTGTTCAATTTTTTGTTTGAAACTATAGAGTGTCATTAATTATATAAATTAATTCAGCTGTAACGGTAGTAGGACAAAAATCAGAGAAATATCTCGTATTTAAGACCAAACATTGTAAGATAAAAGTGAAAATCGTCTTCTGATTGTAAATGTTATGACAAATATTTTATCTACGTCTTATTGCCTGGAAACGTTACTTGAATGTATTAGAGGTTTTGTAAATTGTCATTATTGTCCTTGATTTATATCCATGTCATTAATTTTCTATAAAACATTATTGAAAACTTCTACAGAACCGGTAAATACCTCTTCTAGGTTGCTAAATGTGAGAACTAGTAATCATTCTGTATGGACAATATGAACCTCCTTAATCTAATTCTTTATTTTCATCGAAACTGACATTCAGAAGTTTCTAAAAGAATTGTATATGATATTTGACACAGCCCAGCTACAACTGATCAAATTTCTTTTTCATTTCTTTCGAGTTCTAACAATAGCCAACCAATAACCAGTTTTATTTGCTCTCTGGTATTTATTGCTTAGTATAAATCACAATCCACTGAGCTGTACCAAATGCATTCAATATAAAGGTCAGTGACAGAACATTAACATTAACTGTTTTCACTTGTCCGATTCGTTACATTAGATAAAGAACAGTATCAAGTTATAAGCTTTTAATATAGATTCAAGACACTTTTGAATTCCTTGTGAAAATAGTTTTTGAAAAGTGGATAATTCATAGGGTTTCTTTCATTTAAAAATTCAATGCATCTTTATGAGAAAATTCACATCTTATGCCTCAACAAGTCGCTTTTCAGCTGAATTTTCACAGAACATTATCAACAGTAGTGAGCACTTTTTTGTTCTTGTAGCTGGAAATTACTGAAATTGAATCACTGATTTGTTTCTAGGCTTAATTGTAAATTTGCAGAATTGTGTGCATTGGATTTATTTATTAGCCAACTCATCTTCAGATTTGTCCGTAAATTTCACCCTTAGATCATTAGTTCTTGTTATGTGAGTCTTGTTAGGCGCAATCAATATGATTCCGAAAAGCATTTAAGACCTGCCAAAAGAAATAGATATTGCGATTCGAGAAACACTTGAAAACATTCGCAAGATTCCCATGGTTCCGTCATGTCCAGAAAATTTGCATTGATTCGGAGGGGTTTAAATGAGGCACGCAATTGCACCAGTCACTTAGAAGCCATAATATTTAGCATTCAGCACATTCCCTTCGCCATCAGAGACTAATAAGTAAATTATATCGGATTGCTTTTTTCTACGCGAGACAGGATGCACTTAAGCTTTCAGAGATGTTCAAATGATCAGTTGATTTTGGATGTAAGATGAAGTGATCTTGAATCATATTAGGAATTGTCCTTCCTAGACTTACGACTTAATTTCTGACAACAGACCTAAAGCAGAAGCTATCAAAATTAATATAGAGTGAATGTGATGGAAAACACTGTGTTATTATATAATTACCAAATATTACTACTGACATTTTTATCCTCGAAATGCGATAAAAAATGTACCTTGTAGGAAGGGAGATTCTAATGTCAGTCATGAATAATATATCCACTTTATAATTTGGTATATTGTTTCAATAATTGCAGACCTGTGTAAACGTTAAATATCAACGTTTAATGATGTTACTCAACAAACCATTGTGTATCATGGCTAAAATCTTAATTCAAAGATGAAGATTTTTAATTTTGTTTTTAATCTTAACTATTTTTGAATTCACAGTTTCTCTTTTAAAAGTTTTTTTTATCAAAGCTGTGCTCATTAACTTATTAAGAAGAAAGAATTGTTCAGTACATGGCAAACCCTTAAAGACCGTGTCTCCATAAACGCCGCAATAAACTTATTCTCATAAATGATGAAAAACACATCAGAATCTGAAATATATAAACATCCACTTTGTCTTCTTGAAAGAGGAAGATTGATTACATTACAAATTTCATAATACTTTTAGAAAGTTGCTGTATTGATCAATGGCAAATAATTTTGCAAAATGAACAAAAAATAAATAAATGAATAAATAAATCAAATTGTTTTCATTTATATGCTAAAGGACGATATACATATCTGTTGAAATTATGTAAAAATGAATCATTCAATGATTAATTTCGCAAAAGGAATAATAATGTTAATATATAATGTCTTTAAAAGCATTTTCTTTTCAAATTGACCAATAAAAAGTTATGAATCTTTGTCAGTATTATCTGATTCTTTACGATACATATTGCGAAGTACATGATCCTTGTTTATGAATCTTCCACTACCTAGGAACGATTATCAGAAACAGATAATTTCCCTCCAAATCAAATTAATATCATGCTCATGTAGTCTAGCAGCATAACAAATTATTTGCTTACAACAATGCACCTGCATATTGATGAACATTAGACATTGGTCTCAGAGACGCATATTCCTCTGGATTCTCATGTATTATTTTACATGTAACTAATGCATGGTCAATTTTAGCTAAGAAAGTGTGAGCAACACATTAACAAAGCTGATAGAAAAAATCCAGATTTTGCAAGTTAATTAATATTTTTTTTAAAATTGCCCCTTCACAAAAAATTTATGGCAAGACACATGTATTGGCGGAAAACAGCAAGTGTTTTCTTCTTCTCAGATGTTTTTGAATAAAGTCTGCTTCAAAAGGAATATAAAAACAGATCATCTAATAAAGAAGCACAATTAATGTCCATCGAAATTCCAAACGTTTGTTGGAAGAGCTGGTCTCCAAAGACTACATAAGTGTTATCAATGAGGAACTCAAGCATCTTTTTTAATATCAACTTTAAAGTACTTAGTAATTTCTGATAATCGTGAATTTTAACGAAGTAATTCTATTTTGTTGATGACCAATCATACGAAAATTTCCGACATCCATATTTATTGAAGCGAAGCAGTTGTCTATGATATCAAAAAGTACCTTTTTAATTTATCGTGATGAATGGTTGTATAAAGTCTAGAAAAGTCGTACCTTTTGATGTTACTGACTTTTGAAAAATATGATGATTGTAAATTTTCCAAAAGTTCTTTGGAGTTTTGAAGATCCACATCTAATGTACACCACTTTAAGAATATACCTTATGAAATAAGGAGAAAACCTTAATCAAGCTCAAAAGTCCATGGAGGAGTAAGCATCCTTTTTAACACATTACCTCTGAAGTTTCTCCTTTACAGCAGCTAATATTTTTGTAAGGAGAAAAAAAAGGGCTTGGTAGAGCATCTGTTGGGCCCGGCAATGTATCTCTGTTTGTAAAAATTTTTATGAAGTTTAGGAATCCAGTATAGAAAGGGTAGATCGAACTCACCTTGGTTGACTGGGATGTTAAAAGTGTTAAACAATGAAATGTGATTTTGAAGAATTTCATCCTTAGAAAGTGAAGTGTGAGTATAAGTTGAATTTTCAGACGTAGAATTAAAGTCAGTTCTAAATACAGTTATAATAATGAGCCTTACAAACAAAGACGATATTATTAATAAACTTGTCGGCTGTAATTAATATAACCGTAACGTATTGTTCAGGTAGTCTTTCTAATTCTTTTATTAGTCCCCTACCGGTGAAACCGGAGGAGACTATAGGTTTCCTCTGAGTCTGTCCGTCCGTCCGTCTGTCTGTCTGTCCCTCTGTCTGTCTGTCCCACTTGGTTTTCTGCACTTTTTTCCTAAACGCTTGCAGATATTGAACTGATTTTTGGTATGTGAGTGTATCTTGATGAGTTACAGATCAAGTCTGCATTTCGTTCCGCTTCATTGATTTTTGACGGAATTACGGCCTTTTCAATTTTTAGGGGTTTTCCGCAATTTTCTTCTAAATGCTTTCAGATATTGAGCTGATTTTTGGTATGTGACTTTACCTTTATTAGTTATAGATCAAGTTTGCATTTCGTCCCGCTACATTGATTTTTGACGGAATTATGACATTTTCAATTCTTAACGGGAACCAGATTACACTTGCCGGTAGGGGACTAGTATTGCTAATGCAATACTCTTAGAATGCTTGTTGATACAGAAATACATTTTTCTTTAAACTTTTTCGACTGTCTTGATCATTATCATAACAGAGAGTATTTTCCACCCATAAAATACATGTTTACTCTAATGGAGAGAATTACGCGTATACGAGAAAAAGAAAACCTTATAAAAAAAATTAAGCAACAACTGATTAAAAAACGTGATGTTAAATGAGATTTTTTTTCAGATACTTCTATATCTGGGTACTCAGCAGTATTTTTCTTCCATGCAAATAAGCTACCTATTGCATTATAGACAAGAGTTACGTTGGCTTAATTGAGCAAGTGTTGATAGCAAAACAAGCATAGGCCATATTCCGAAGGATGACAGTAATTTTTTCCATTAATTGTTCTTTGCGTGCGCACCATGTTTATAATATCGAGCTAAAGTCAAACTAAATGTAAAAAAATGACAATCACTCTGATTGCTACAGGGACATCGGTACTAAAATAAGATCAAGATGAGTGATCAAATAAAACCTAGACATGCTGCTTGGAGTTATAGGATAAATCATTTATATATTTTCTGTAGATATGTTCTAATGTGTATGCAGTTCTTTCGTTAAGTACAACTATGACATGGGACATTGATTTCGTCTCTTACTTAATCTTACTTAACACTTGATTTAACTATTTAAGAAACCCTCCGACACTGTATATATATTTTTTAAAGATAGTAAATAAATAGTGGATAGGAAGAATCTCGAGTGGGCAATATTTAGTGGCATTATATAGTCACTGATTGTAATTTATACCTAACGTGAGAATGGTACATCAAGAACTGACACAAGAAAGCCTTTCCCGGAAGATTACTCTGTGTAACTGAAAAGAGTTCAGCAATAAAATGTAAGAAATTGAAACTTTCTTTTTTCCATATCACAAC